CGTTTCACCTATTGTCTGTTTATGTGTGAAAATCCACAACATGAACGGTTAATTTCAAAGAGCTACACAAACACCGAGGCTGCAATGACGGACTCAATACAGAGTTGGGGCAGTTGTAGAGTCAACTATAACTAGTAAAATAATAAGACGCATACAAACGTTGTACATGTATCTAAGCTTCTAAGATAACTACAGTTGTTTGATCAAGTCAATTTAAAACAATAACATGCATCAGCAACCTTAAATGTGCCGTTTCCTAACCTCCTTCATTGGGCGTTTTTGTCAGTACCACGGTGGAATTGCCAATACCGATTGCAGTAAACCCAGCAACTCTAACAGAGTAACTTGCTAACTCAAGGTAAATAATTGTGTAACTGAGCTGATCTGGTCCAACAGTCCCATTTTGTTCATTGCCAGATCCCTCCTTCTTGTAGAAGACTTGGTAACCCAGCAGCTTTCCTTGTTGTTGCTTGACAGGTATGGCATCCCATGATGCAGTTAGTGAAAGAGGAGAACTGGAGCTTAAAGTGAAGTTTGCTGGTGCGGCAGAGGGTACTGAAATAGAACAAACTTACAGCCACTGCATGCATTCATACCGTACATACATACATGCACACATACATGCTTTATCTGATAAAGCACGTTGAGAGATGGCAGCATAAGCTGATGTGGACCTGCTAAACTATGTTAAATAAATACATAATAATCTAAAATTACCAAATATACTCACTACAGCTGTATGCAAAAGACATGTCAAAATATTACAATACATACTATCTAAACTAGAAGAAAAAAGATACAACTCTTCCTGCTTTTTTTAATGCAAATAATGCTATTCTTAAACTACAAATGTAACTTTTTTTTTAAAGCATAATTGTTATAAAACAAAGGAGGTTTTTATTGACACAAGATCAACCTTAACCTCACTCAACAGCTGGGGCAATAAGCCCACAACTGTAAATTAATGGTCTATTCTGAGATGTGATGTGACTGACAAGTGGAAATAGAACCTCAACTGCCTCAAGAATCATGCATCTTGATCAAAAGAAAATAACAATCAAAGTATAACCATGTGCACAGAATTTAGTATTAAACTCACCTGATTCACTTGATTGTACTCTAAAAGGTTTAGACCAAGGGCCAATCCCCTCGTCGTTGTAGGCTTGCACATGAATGTTATACCATGTGTATGGTGTAACAGTAAGTGATGCTGAATTGAAACTTAAAAGTGGAACAACTTTTTGCATTGAGGCAGATGTTCCATTTACTTCCTGCCATTTCACAGTGTAACCTTTTATGCCGTCACCAATGTCAATGGGTTGATCCCATGTGATGTTGATCATGGATGACGAAATAGAAATCTGTTTCAGGGACAGTGGTTGACCAGGAAGTCCCATAGTTGGATCTACAGTGTATCAGGGTAAAACACAGTCAGATTACTTGTTTACTTATAGCAACCAGATAATAGATGTTGTGCAGATGTAACTGCAACATAATATTGATTGGGATAATAATAAGCATGATTCTAAATGTATTAGGCTAATTATTTTCATGTAGAATAATTTAAAGTATGAATTTATTTTCAAAGAATTAAAATATGCATATATTTTTGGATTTCTGTTCACGTGATTGTATGATCTACATGTAAAATTTTCAGATCATACATGTACAGGTTTGTACATGTACTCAGCCTCATTGCTTAAATCGTGATTTAAAATATCAAAATTCCATTTCTTAGTTTCCATTCAGCTATTGTGTGATCTAAAGAATCATGCAGATCTTGGAGGATGTTATTTCTCGTGAAGCGAGTGAGTTTATAATCTCGTCGTACGTAAAGCGCGCGAGTATCACGTGGGGCGCACGTGGTCTTAGCAGCTTGCAAAGTCTGTTGGGCCATCAATGTATATTTGTTTGTTTAAATATACAATAATTGTATTGGTCATTTCCAGTTCGTATCTGCATCCAGTGTGACGTCACAGTACTTCTGTAATTATTACAATTTATTATTATACATTGTAGGAGATGGCACAAGTTACATTAGCTGTTATTTTAGCAAATCCCACCACATATTTGCCTGCAGTCATCCACTGTCACACCTGCATTTCCTTCTGACAACAACTACACATGAAGGACGATCAAATAGGGTGAACACGACACCTTCACAACTTTGCCTACGCTGCCTTAATACAACAGCAACCCCATTTAAATCCCACATCCTATTTAAAGCTAGGGCACTCGGTTCAACTTTACTCCAACCAAAAGGAGATTGAGTTATCTCTGAAACCCACTCTCCCCAGCTACACTCACGGGCCTCTACCCCCGAGCTTCGTGAGATTCTGCGATACATGTATTTCTAGTACACTGTACATGAAACACTCTCCTCCACACTGAATCTCCATAATCTTCAGATCATAATTAGACTTAACCAATTATGCCTTTAAATAATGGGGCAGTGTAAAATGCAAACTGCAGTGGTCTGACTGCAGACTGACTGCAGGCTATTGTTTTTAGGGTTAAAAAACAACGAGATTATTGTTGTCACATACTCATTTGCATGGTGAAAACAATAGTCCGTAGTCTGCCTTTTACACTGAGCCATTAAATAATACCTGATTTACAGCCATAAAACTCCATTCTAAGTGCACAGTTTCCAGAACAGTTTGTTGGATGTAATCTTATGTACTGGGCTTTCACCAAGGGATTGACCAACACTCTCTCAGTACCATTATCATTTGTATTACCCTGAAAAACCTAAAAAAAAATTAACAATGTATATTCCACTATAGGCTACAGTGTATAATATTTTGGTCTTCTGAACCCAGAACACCTAAGACTACAGACAGAGACCAAAGCAAATAATCTACATGTACAGCTTAAAAAATACATAGCATAGAAAGTAAGATTCACACTGTATGGCGGAGTATAAGCTCTCCAGCGTCACACATTGAGGATCACTAAATTAAATCTACCAGTACTGAAACTAAAGTAACATTTGACTTCCTGTCTTTATACTAAACTTTAAAATTATAACATTGCGCGTGTGCTTGCGCTGTATTAATATAAGTCCTATTGAGCTGCTATAAACGAAATCTTATTTACGCTCAGCCCGGCTGCATATTTTTTAAGATTTTTTTCGTGATGACGTATTCAGCTGTATTTTTCGTATCTTTTCCTAAGTACTAAATACCCAAAAATCAACGGCAATGACGAAAAACTTTTCTAGTATTTTTGGAATTGATCTTCTCAGGCCACTCAAACCAACAGCAAAAGCGGTGAAGGTGTTTCGGAAATTAATAATAGAGCCTGAATCGTTGAAAAGTCTGCCTTAATAGGCCATTTGCACTAAGAGATCATGTGACATCGTTTTTATGAAATTGAAATGATTTTTTTCTTCAAAAAACGACTATTGGGTCATATATTTAACAAAATAATAGTGATTTGGTTTTTTAAACCTCCATCATTTTCTTAAAATCGTAGCTAGTCGCGTGACCAAAGTGTGATTTTTAAAATTATGAATTACCTCTTTCTGAACATAAATTTTGCACTTAAACTTCGAGAAAAATTTTGAAAAGTTGATGTGGGAACGTTTACAGCACATCTGAGCGAAGCTATCAAACTTTAACAAGATGTAAGCAAAAAGTAGTTTTGGCCGCCATGTTGGAGGGCAAGAGTATGCCCTCCAAGATGGCGGCTAACAAATGATACCACTTTGTTGAAAAATCAAAGTGCCATAAAATATCTCCCTTAAATGTGTTTCCTTTCAAATTTCGGGTTTGAGATAATTTTTATGTGCTCTGTCAATTTTTGGCATCAGCAAGATTCCAACTCATTATTTAAAGGAAGCATTGGTCACGTCACCTCGTAGTGCAAGTGGCCTATTGGACTGACATTCGGGTGGAAAACAAATATCCAATTTGTATAAGGTGTACTTCCTCCGTTTTTAACGTTTGTTTATCCTTTACAAAACAACTCAATTACTTGTACATGTATAAGCTTATAAAGTATTAGCTCAATAGCGAAAAATTATGCACTTTTGTTATCGCTGAACAATCCGACGGAAGCAGGAAAATTTCTCTTGCAATAACAAGACAAATCACACAAATTACTCACAAAAACCACTGCTGCCAGGTAACAGCCATTGTTCGTAAATGAATAAAAAATAAAGTAGGATGACAGTCGCCGGCACTAAAAACTTTTTGGTGAACAAGTTTTCCGGACTTTGCCGAGCAAAACATAAATGATCTTTTTAGGGAATCCAAACGATACTCCACGACTTCTTATGAACATGACATGTGAGTATTTTAACTTTACATGTAGGTGGACGTTAAGACTCTTTTACCTTTGTTTCAGCACAGTTTCTATTGATCGTTAACGAATAAATAAGCAAATTTTCTTTCTCAGTGACTCAGTTTTGCAGAAAGAATTTTCTTTCAAACTAGACGATTGTGGCGTGTTTGTAACTTAAGCCAACAGAAGCATTTGTTTTTTCTGTGTCACGTGTTACGAGAATTTTGCAGTTAATCAAAGAGCAAGAATTTTTGTCAGCTATGTTATGCCGGTGAAAGAATTTGCTCATGCTTTTAGCTGTGCGTGTATCGAGTTATGGATGCATGCACTTGGGAAGGTTAGAGAACACTGAAAAAGCTAGAGTTGCTCTCGGCAGAATGTATTATGCAGTGCACACGGAAATTTTAAATAGTTAGTTTATAAATAATTACCTTAACTAATCCTCCATTAATGGTATAGTTTAACCACTCCACTTCACTGACATTATAACTGAAGTAAAATGATGAAACAAAGCCAGAACCTGGAAAGCCTTGTGTAATGATTGCAGTAATGTTCATAATTTTTCCCAAATTCACTTGTATCCAAGGTTGTGTATCATTTGTATCAGCAACCCAAGATTTTGTGTTATTTAGTCTTGCATATGATGCTGATGAATTTGAATCTAATTCTGAGGATGCTGTGATGTAAGTGTCACGAATTTTCCTGTTTGTCATGCCAAGGAAACTGGAGGCAGTGGTACAACCTGCATGTAAAAATTAATAAAGATGCACAAACAACTGTTAATGTACAGTTAAAAGAGTTTCATAACAATAACAAAATCGAAAGAACTACTATTTAAACTACTGTTTAAAACTATATTGTTCTATTGCTGGTTTTCAGTGTCACGCCATTCAAACCAGATCAAAATCAAAATCAAAACCGTTCAATAGATAAAGTCCAGAATCTGGAAAATGAAAGGAGGTACATATACAAAGACCCTCGCCAATATTCAGGTCAGAGGAATATTTCGTATACGAGATATCCGAAGAAATGTTTTACCCAAACTTATAGTTATTTGTATGGAGACGCCATGCTGGTGCTCATCTGGATGAGCTCCAACATGGCAGACGGAAACCAACAGAAACATCTGTAACCGAGTTTTGCTTCAAAAGCGTGTATTTATTCTTCGAGAAACTCATAAACATTAAAGTAGTACTTTTTCTAATACATGAACTGTTTAAATAGCCAAATTTCTTGAAATAAGTCATTTTTTAACCTACATGACAGCTCTCTTGGTCGTCATGTGAATGCCGCGTCACGCAAAAGCTTAGAAATTCAAGCGTACTCTATCACAAAACCAAGAACTCTTTTGAAGCGAAAATTTGTATGAAAATTAGTTTTCAGCTGCTCTAATGCATCGTAAAAGTAAAATCCTGGTGGGATCGATAGCTTTTTAGTTTGAATTTTAGTGACGTCATGTGAAAACCAACAATTGCAAACCATGTGACATTTTAAAAGCATTTTACCTTTTCATGGTTAATCATACAATGTACAATAATGAACAAATTTACTTAGAATCACGATGAATGTTTACTTAGGGTGTGTTTACTTTTGGGATGATCCGGATCAGGGTCAGTGATTTGAGATTCATTCATTCATTCATTCAGTCAGTCAGTCAGTCAGTCAGTCAGTCAGTCAGTCAGTCAGTCAGTCAGTCATTCATTCATTCATTCATTCATTCATTCATTCATTCATTCTTTCATTCATTCAGAGATCAGTCAGAGTAGTCATGGTATTAAATGAACGGATGAAACCTTAATTCCCAGAGTGGATTGGTCAGTTCCTTTGGCGTGATATGATCCGAGTAATCTATTGTAGGATTACTGATCCTTATTCAGATTTGCCCAGAGAACGCGCCCTTAAATCCTAGACTGTGGATCCAGCTGTTTTGCAAATTATCAATTAATGTTTTAAAAGGATACCATATTTATTTATTAACAGTAAGTAAATCATACCTGAAGGGGTGTTAGAAGACTGTGTACCTATGAATACATGTAAAAAGTATTAAAACAGTGTGTGTTAGAGTAATAATAATGATAATAATAATAATAATAATTATAATAATAATAATGATAATGATAATAATAATATTTAACATTTATATTGCGCATTTTCTATAAAAATAATCATATACGCTGATTACAAACATTACAATAAATACGAAAATAAGAACCTATTTACAATCACTATGGAATCAAAATAAGACGAAAAATACACTATTTACAATTGGCTATAAGAAAAGTAATTCGCAGAAAACTATAGAAAAATCTAAATATATACTAATTGTTCTTACAAAATGCCTAGCTGAATAAAAATCAAAATCCTTTTTGCTGCAAGCAGATCTAATGCTTACGGGAAGACTATTCCAAAGCCGTGGAGCTGCCGCCATGAAGGATCGATATCGATCCCCCATGGTAACTTTTGTGAAACTCTTTTGGGTGCTCAGAAGAATTCCCTTGTTATTTCGCCGTAAATGATAATGGGATGGCGGTAAAACAGAAATTAAATCAATGAGATATTTAGGAGCTGAACTCTGGAGTACTTTAAAGGTGATCAAAAGGATTTTAAACTCAATACGTAGGCGGATAGGCAACCAGTGAAGTTGTTGAAGGAGCGGCGTAATATGACAGTGTTTAGGTGTGCAGAAGATCAATCGTGCACTGGCATTCATGACACGTTGGAGTTTTTGCATGTGATGGTCGGGAACTCCATAGAGGAGACTGTTGCAATAGTCTAACCTACTGGTTATATATGCATGAATCAGTTTCTCAGTACATTCACTAGTAAGGTATTTCCGTATATGTCCGATATTATACAGATAAAAGAATGCACTACCGCGGGTCTTTGTTATATGCGTTGCCATATCCATGTGCGAGTCGAACCAGGAGCCCAGATTTTTCACCGAGTATACGGAAATTACATCAACGTCACCAACCCTAATACTACTAACAGACACTTTAGATAGCTGCTGACCCACGTAGGCCGAGCAGTGACTGAAGTCTGTGAATAAGAATGTCAGGGTCCACAGTATCAAAGGCGGCGCTGAGGTCTAAAAGAACTAGGAGTGTCACATGACCCATGTGAGAACATTGTAAAGCATTTTTTGCCAAACCCTGCTACTACAGCAAGATTGAAAAGAATGTCAGAACACTGAAAAAACAAGTTGCATCAAAGAACATTGAATACAATAACTGTTTATAACTATATGTACAGTCAAACCTCCACATCCAGGCCACCTACCTTGAGCAACTAAGTACCTATTCAAAACACAATTTTTTTCCCAGTAAAAGCCGGCTTCATCTGGAACCTTTTGTACACCTCACCTCTCTCAGTTTTCCATTGTTTTTAACCTCTTGTACATGTAAGCGACCATGTCCACTTTACGCGCGGTGTATAGTTCACGATCAAGTACAGTGTATGTTCTCTGTACAGTGCACTATACTACTCACATCATACAAAGAACTTTTGTTGATGTCATGGAACTACATATCGTACAGTAAAAACTAACAAATTGCATGCAAAACAATGTAAATTGTCTCCCGAAAAGAAGATGTAAGGGCCTCATCTCAATTCTTGTAAGTGACTGATGTACCTCCCGTGAGAAACCACTGGATCTTGGCATTTGGGGTGGTAGCTTCATCTTCCGATTTTCACACTGCTTCTTGATCAAAACAAGAACTTAAATAAAACTTCTTGGCTTTCTTTTCGTGACAAAAGTGGAAATAATGTCGCTAAGTTTAAAGATAGGCTTGCAAACGTTCATTGGGATGAATTATCTGAATGTAAAGATACTGATTGCGCTTATCGGTGTTTTCTTGATAAATACACTACCATTTACAATGACTGCTTTCCTCTCAAAAAAGTGAAAGTAAAGAATGTTACTTTGAGCAAACCATGGATAACTAAAGGTCTTCTTAAATCGGTAAGAAAAAAGAATTTATTATACAAGCGTTTCCTTGCTAACCCAACTCCATATCGTGAGAAACTTTACAAGAGTTATAAAAACAAATTGACACATTCCCTTCGCGTTGCTAAACGTCTCTACTACAATAAAAAGTTAGATGAATATAAATCAAATGCAAAATCAACTTGGAAATTACTTAACGATCTTATTAACAAGAAGAAAATTAAGTGTAAGTTGCCTTCCATCTTCAAATCTAATGAAGAAGAAATATGTAATCCTACTCATATAGCAAACCGTTTTTGCGAGTATTTTACGAATATTGGACCTAACTTAGCTAAATCAATTCCGGCGTCTGACAAATCTCATCGTTCTTTTCTGAATGGAGGCTTTATTAATTCATTTTTTCTTCAATCGGCATCAGAACAAGAAGTCACTGAGATTTGTAGCAGCTTTCGATCCGGTACTGCTCCAGGATATGATAGTATTTCAATGAATGTTGTTAAAGAGTCTTTTAACTTAATCTGCGCACCATTGACGTATATAATTAACTTGTCTCTTAATTCTGGAGTTGTGCCCCAAGAGATGAAAATTGCACGAGTTATTCCATTGTTTAAATCTGGTGATAAATCTTTGTTCACAAATTACAGACCCGTATCAGTGTTACCAGTTTTCTCTAAATTCCTAGAGAGAATCGTCTACAATCGCCTCATTAATTTTTTAAATAAATATGATATTCTTTCCCGGAATCAGTATGGATTCAGAAAAAATTATTCTACTGCACATGCTTTAATCCAATTGTATGACAAGATCTCAAATGCACTTGATAATAAAAGGGTAACTTTAGGCCTATTCATTGACTTATCTAAGGCCTTTGATACAGTAAATCATGAAATTTTGCTCGACAAATTAGAACATTATGGAGTACGTGGTATTGCTTTACAATGGTTTAAAAGTTATCTATCTTGTCGAAAACAATTTGTGCAATATAATGGTTACAACTCTTCATCATTAGATATCACTTGCGGAGTCCCTCAGGGATCTATCTTAGGTCCCCTGTTATTCTTAGTATATATAAATGATCTATGTAATGTGTCAAAGGTCTTAGAGCTGATACTATTTGCTGATGACACTAATATCTTCTATTCGCATACTGATGCTTCCTATCTTATGGAAGTTGTAAATTTAGAATTGAAAAAGATAACGTGTTGGTTTTATACAAATAAGCTATCTATTAATGTTAAGAAATCTAATTTTATCATATTCAGACCGAGACAAAACAGGCAAACACTTGATTTAGCTTTTAATATTAGTAATTATTCGATTGATCGTGTTAAGGAAGCTACTTTTCTCGGTGTAATTTTGGATGAACATTTAACATGGAAATCACATATACATAATGTTGCTCGGAAAGTGTCTAAAGCCATAGGTATAATTTATAAATCAAGTTTTTGCCTTAATAATTCCTCCTTACGGATGCTATATTTTAGCCTTATCTATCCATACTTATTCTACTGCGTGAGCGTCTGGGCATCGACCTACCCATCAAACCTCAGAAGATTAATCACACTTCAAAAACGGGTCGTAAGAATAATGTCGAGGAGTGCTTTCGATGCTCACACTGACCCCTTATTTAAAAATTTAAAAATTCTGAATCTTGAGAATATCTACAAACTTCAAATAGGAAAATTTATGTATCAATACAGATCTGGTTTACTTCCTTATAGCTTCAATAACATGTTTTTGGTGACACGCCAGGTGCATTCTTATGGC